GGAAGTCCATTCCACTGTCAAACAGCTCTTACTGTCAGAAAGTTATTCCTGATGTTTAGTCAAAATCTCCTTTCTTTTAACTTGAATCCAATGGTTTGGGCCGTAGCCTCCGGAGCAGGAGAAAGCAACTTGTTCCGTCCATGTAACAGTCCTTTAGACATTTAGTTGTACTGGCTGCAACTGTGTAAGCCAATTTATTGGCAATCTCCATTGGTTCCTGCTGTCACTCATTGGTGTCTACCTCCTGGTAAGCTTTGTAGGGCACACCAGGGTAGGCAGGCAATCGCTGGAGGACACCAGACCCAGATCCTTTCAAACATGGCACTCAATTGTCTAAAACAGTAGCACCTATGGATCAGTCTCTCCAACTGCTTTGTTCGTTTATAGGAATTTGAATGTCTTATAAAGAATAAGACAGTAAAATTGAAATGGGTCAGGTAGAGATGCTTTTTGAAAAAATGGGTTTTTTTAATTCTTCATTTTTTGCAAGATTGCAGATTCAGAGTCAACAAAAATGTTCACACAATTTATCTTCCAATAAGGTTGCATGAACACATCCCCCGAATGGGCCTAAAAGCACATGATTCATGGAAAAAATAGATTGTGATTTGGCTGTTTATTCGGGGAATATGCTTTTCTATACATTTGATCCAGGCCTATTTGCACATTGAGGGGGGGAAATATCTATGCAATTTAATTTCCCAGTAAAAGTGTCAGGATTTCAGCAAAACCAGCTAGAGGAAACAAATTAAGAACATGTTTTTGTTTTCTATTTTTCCACCTCCATAACTATATTCTCCCTACTCTGGCAAACAATACACATTAGAGAGCCTGCAATTCGAGAGCAAGAGATTACTTGCCGTATTTTAGTTTAACTATCTGATTTATTGCCAAAATGATGCATAAATGCAACATTGTGCTTTGTACAAAAGCTAAATTTGATGCTCCAATTGACTGCCAATCTTGAATGAGTTCAAAACGTTTCATCCAAGCTGCCACTAGATTTGCTTGTCGTCTCTTTGGATTTTGACCTGTCTCATCAAATTGAGCAAGACTGATCTCACACATGTCACTTAGCATTGTTGTTGTTGTTTAAATATTTTTTATTAAAGATTTCTTGGTTTACAAATATGTGCAATCTCTCTTTTTTCAAGTTACATTTTCTACAGATCAATTTCATTTGTTGAGACATTAGTGTTACATTAGGAAGAAAAGGGGTAAACATGTGGAGCCACAATCTCATGGCTGGTGTGCATTTGTGAAAGACAGTGGTTTTAAATGTGCTTCTATCAGTTATTTAAACTGATTCACAGATGTTTTACAATCACTTTTCAACTGATTTGTCACCGGGAACAAGACATAGATGTTCTTCTGAAAATGCATCTGCAATTCTCCATCTTCTCTATAAGTTGCGTGCATTTTTACAAATTTTGTTTGCTCCTCATTCTTGTCACAAAACAAACTGGAATTTCATGTGTGTTCTTCCTGATATCTCAAAATGCTTCAATGAGAAAGAGGTGGCTGCATTGTTCTCATTATGAAATAAACAAGTCATCTATTTCAGAAGTGGAGAAATACCCCCATCCACCTCTTAGCTCTTAGGAACCACAGCAAGCTGAGAAACAATATTCTTTACATGAAGTAGTCAGGGAAATCCGTCCTCTTGTTTTTATTTCTAAGACTGTTGTTAAGTGGTTTCTTTGTGAAACGGACTGAAATTCTGTTTAGTTACTGAACCAAAAATGGGGTTCATTACACTAAGAGGTTTCATTACATGAAAAGGTTTTTGCATGTCATGGGCAATTCCATTTATAGACAAGTTGTGAATGTCTTCTCCCTTACCAGCTAAAGAGGCGGTAAGCGTATGGAGCCAAGGAGATAAGAGAATATACAACCTTTGGAAGACAACTGAAGCCAGCCCTGTATAGGGAAGTTTTTAAATGTTTAATGTTTTATTATGTTTTCATATATGCTGGAAGCCACCCAAATTGTCTGGGGCATCCCAATCAGCTGGGCAGGGTATAAATATGATGATGGTGATGGTGATGAGGATGAGGATGATAGAATGGGACATGACTATTTTCAACAGAGAAATGTTGGAGGGTATGTTACTTTCAGGTAAGCATGTACAAATTGCATGCACAAAGTTAATTAGCACCCTGCTTGTGAGCTCCTGAAAAGGGGCATCTGGTTGGTTATTGTGTGAAACTGGACAAAACAGGCATTTGGTCTGATCCAGCAGGACTTTTCTTGTGATTACTTAAAATGCAGCTGCAATTCAAAGAGGTGGCTGAAAGAACTGGAATTTTTCAGCCTAGAAAAGAAAGGATTCAGGAAGCTTTGTACTGAGCAGGTATTGTACCAAATGTATAAAATCACTGGTGGATTATTATTATTATTAAAATTAAAAAATCAGTTAATAGCCATCTGTTATTTACTCTTTCAAGTGAATTTGGTAATGCACACAAAAAGCCTGATGAGATCAGTTCTCAGCAATGAGAGACTGCATGCAGTTTGACAGTGAATAATCAGGTGTGAGCATTTCCATGCAGTCCATCTTGAAACAAATGCCCTAGTCTTGGAAGACCATTGTTTTCGGACTGCAGTAGTCACCTTTTCAGTAATAGAGGTCACTGAGGATGCATGACCTCAATGATCTTCCTACACTGCTATCTGCCTATTGAGGATCAGGTCAAAATCAAGGTCTTTACAGCCTTTTTAAAAAGAAGGCCAAGCTGCTTAAAAGGAATGTCTTGCACTGAAGTCATGACCTACCACATTAGGACTATTCTTTAGAAACTATGGAACTGTCAACTACATAACAGAAATCTGAAAGAACAAAGCAGCATGAGGCATTATTGACTGCTTATTCAACACAAGTTGTCATAGTTTTATACATCACCGCTGCCACACCTCAGAAAGTCCATTTCGTAAATTTGCCCTTTACATCAAATCAAATTCTCTTCGTTCCAGTTTTCATTTCAGCCGTTTTAACAATGCAAGATACAGCACGGGTCGTTTCATTTCAAACATATATAGCACAGAACTGGAAAAGGCAGAGGAAAAAGTGACAACCAAAGTGATAAGAGTTTGGGGCCTTCCTGCCCCAAGAACGATGCCATTTATGTTTTATCAGTACATGACAACTTGAGTAAAACACTACCCCAAAGAATTTTGAACAGGAAGAAAGAGGTGAAGCTTAAGCAAAAATAAAAAAATAAAAATGCATGCATCAATTCTAGAATTAATTATAGAAATTCTCCTGGTTAAACGAGCATTCAAGAGAAGCAGAGCAAACAACAGGGAGATGAAAGGAATGAAATATTCCTAAAGTAAGTCCCATTTCTATCATTCCCAAAATGCTAAATTGTGGGGGAAATTAACATACATATTTATAAAAGAAATCTCTCTCTCTCTCTCTCTCTCTCTCTCTCTCTCTCTCTCTCCTGTGTGTGTGAGAGAGAGAGGGGGGGGGGACAACCCTGGACCCAAACTACAATGTAAAGTGAAAAACAGTCCACAGCTCTACTCATTGGATGTACACATTATTCTCCTATGTGTATACACAGAGCATCTTTGTATTGAGTTCTTTAAGTTCAAACCAGCTATTGGAAACAACTGGATGATTGACACAATCTGGCTAGGTTTCCCCAGCCACTCTGGGCAGCTTCCAACAAAATATTAAAATACAGCAATGCATCAAACATTAAAAGCTTCCCTAAACAGGGCTGCCTTCAGATGTCTTCCACAAGTCTGGTAGTTGTTTTCTCTTTGACATCTGGTGGGAGGGGATTCCACAGGGCAGGTGCCACTACCGAGAAGGCCCTCTGTCTGGTCCCCTGTAACTTGGCTTCTCGCAGCGAGGGAACCGCCAGAAGGCCCTCAGAGCTGGACCTCAGTGTCAGGGCTGAACGATGGGGGTTGAGATGCTCCTTCAGGTATACTGGACCGAGGTCGTTTAGGGCTTTAAAGGTCAGCACCAACACTTTGAATTGTGCTTGGAAATTTATTCATAATCCATTAAATTATATAATCTGAGCAAAATCATTCCTTTTGTGCCCCAAAGATGTGATGGTCAGAAGCAATGAACACACTGAGATAGGTCCTGAGGACTACCTGGGTCACAAAATGGCAGCCTCACTCAACCAAGAAGGCTGATTGGCTCCCTCCCTGCTAACCACAGGAAGCCGGGTCTTCAGACATTATACCGGGAGAACAATTGCCACTGGAAACTTAAGCCCTGCATGACTCCTACTTCAATTTGGGCAAATTCCCTCCTTTGGGGGAACTTTGTCAGCAAATATAAATAAATTTAACTGCCACCTTTTTTTCTGCAAAGAATTATACGTGACAGAATGCAAGAATTAGTCATTTGAAGCACTGCACTACGCAAATCCAAATGTAGAAAGTTATGCAGTTTATTTGAAGAACAAGATGTACTAATAGCAAAATCCATATGCATAACAATTAAAAGATATGCAATTAAGCTGTTTTGTATCCCACTGCCTCTTTATAATTAGAGTTCATGCTTCAGAGTACACAGGGGGGAAAACAATAAAAATGAAAATGATTAAGTCAATTAATGGGCACACAAACAGGATTACTTGCAAAGAACGTGAGTTTGCAACTCTGTGTAGAAAGGGTATATTTTCCAGCCACAAACTGAACATATATTTAAAATCTAATTAATGTCAGCAAATCATTTTTGAGCATTTCCATGGCAAGAAAAATAAAAACCCTTTGATTTTCTTTCTTTCTTACTGCCCTATTAAACAGATTCTCTTACTATGCAAGCACAATTCCATTGCATCCAAACCTGTTTACAAATTCCATCCAATACACCTATATATAAACACTTGTTTGACAGCGACAGATGCAATTCCTATGGCATTCATTTTAGATAAACAGAAATTGTGACAGCAATCCCTTGGGCTCTGTTGGAGTGTTTGTAGCTTTGCTCTGACAGCCATCAGACTTTGTTAATTTCCGACACACATAATCTATTCAAACCAATTTTCCTTTAGTAAAAAAAATGTATGGCATCATCATATCCTTCCTGGTATAGCGATACCATCTTCTCCTGGCTTGGTGGGAAAAGAGCCTGGTGGAGTCTTGCAAAGTTCTCTAAAGAAAAAGACAAATGAAGGATCGGGACCATTTCTTTTGTTTGGGCTAGTTTTCCTTTGAGGTAACATATCCTTAACTATAGTAAGTTTTCATGAAGGGTGGTATCCAATACTTACTGTTTTATTATCTTTATAGGAGACGGGAAGACAGAAGTGACTAGAGGGAAGTGGGAGGCAGCAGCGGACCATATGCCCATCCATTAACATGGTCATAATGGTGTGTCCATAAGTGCTTCCAAGCTTCTATGGTTGGATGAGGGCAGTTGTAAATTCACAGCCCTTGGTCTTCTAATTTTAGGGTTGCTGGATTATTATTTTTTTAATGATAACCAACATCCGTAGTATACAATCCTTAAAGTTGAAACCACCCCGATCTTTCTAGATGGCCTGATTTTACTGCCATGCTGTTACTATGGTCACCCACTTTACTTTTAGAGGGAAATATGTGATGAAGCCCATTTGCCATGACTTGAGCTACTTGGAAGAAGGACCAGATATTACCCAATCTCTCAGACAATTAGCCTTCTGAGAAGTTACCTTATCCAACCTTCTAGCCCTGGGACTAAGAGGCTGTATACTTTCCAGTGAGGGAGATTCAGCTAACACTCTCTCCTCCTGTTCTGTCTTTTCTTGTTGTTCGCCTCCCGAGTCTGTCCAACTCCCATCTTCCGAACTGTGACCAGGTCAGTACTGCTCTCCTGCTCAAGTGGAGCCCTAGGATCCTGGTTCTGAGCAGGGAGAGAGAGGGGTTCCTACCACTCCTCATCAGAATAGTACTCCCCAGCCTGATCCCCGACAATGAGTGATCACCAAAGCAGAACAGTCTCATTTGCCTGCTCATGAATGAATTGATCAGTATCCGCCAGTGTCATGACTGTAAACGAATCTGGACCTGGAATTCTAACCTTTGGGGGCCCATGGGAAGATTTGTGATGTTTAAGAGAATGCCATGAGAACCGCCCCCTCTGGTTGGTTCTTAGGCCCCTCTCCCTGGCCACTTCTTCCCCTTCAGTCCCACCCCCACCTTGCAACACACAATTTGCTTGACCATTGTCAAACCAGTCTAGCCCTAGGAGGCTTGGCCGCTGACCTTCGACCACCACCAGTCGGAGCAGGCCCGAAAAATCCTTGAAGGCAATCCGGAACCAGCCAACGCCTACCACGGGAATGTCGTTTCCCTGGTAGTCTCTCAGGTGTACGCGGTCAGAGTCGAGTTGCCTTTTGGACACTCTGGGTACCAGTCTTTTGATGGTGCTCCAAGACACGATGGACAGGGCAGACCCAGTGTCAATCTCCATGTCACATGGAGCTCCTTCAATGAGCACCGTGACGTTCAGCTTGCGTCGCATAGGCGAGTCGGTTTGGCCAATCATGGTTCCAGACGGGCAGCGGCAGTTGGTGAGAATCTTGGTAAAAGCTGGGTCTGGTGGATTAAAATGGATCCTCTTAAATTTGCATGATTTTAGAAAGCGTGTTCTCACTAAAGGAGAGCATGGGTTGCGGATGGGGCCGAGCAAGACACCCTCTGGGTTGTCAGGCAAGTTAGCCTCAAGGGCTCAAACCAGATTGGTGGATGGAGTTGCTGGGGTAAAATTGATGTTGCCAATTTTAGGGGTGGGATCAGAGATTATTTAAGCTAGGGCCACAGCTTGTTCCTTTCTCTTTCGCTGTGGACACCGGATCTCCCGCCCACCCTCCCTTGAAGGGGTTCGCTCTGACCTTGCTATTGCCTGTCATGGGGTCGTCCGCATTGGTGCGGGGGCCTGGTAGGAATTTTTCCTTTTGGCTGATTAGTGTGTGCCAATTGGGTTTTGCCTACTACGTAGCAAATCGTCACAACTTGTAAGGTTGGCGGTTAGGCATTGGTTAAATTGGTTGGTGGAGGGGTATGGATTGGCTGTGCCTGCCCCTCCAATGCTGCTGCTGCACGGGTATTCCGTTAAAGGAATTCTGAAGCTTACCATCCCCTTCGTCCAAACCCTGACGGCAGGGTGCGGGCCGCGTAAGCTTCAAGGAGCATGCGCGGAGTAGCTGAGGGCCTGTGACGCAGCTCCAGCTGACTCTGTCCCGTGTTCCTCCGGGACTGACTAGGGAGTCAGTGCTGTCCCCCATGGCGGGGGGTGACAGATAGTCATAACCAATGCCTAAGCAACCACTCACATTTGTATGATAATAAAGTTGTGGCCAAAATTATGCCAAAAACCTTAAACAAAAATAATGTGTGATGTGTGAGTTATTGGGAAGGGTGTCTTGGGGACCTCAGCACGCAAAGAGTTCTCCACCATAAAATCAAAGCTTACACTGGTAAACAGTACAAGAAAATGCCACAGGTGTGCCTCTTGTCAGCACCAAAAAAACCCAAACACTGATCTTCATATATCATGATTTTTACATAGGAGGACAACAAAACCACCAAGAATACAAATGTGGACACAGAAGTGAACTATAATCTGATGACTGTTTTCAGGAGGTCCTACGTAAAAATTCTGATTTATAAAGGTCCATGTCTCACATCCATGTTTTTACACTATGGCACTGGTAGAAAGCACCAGTTCTACACTTTTTAGAGTAATGTCAATGGGGGCAGATGTGATCTGTGATTTGATGATGGATGAGCAGGTGAAATCTGTGCAAAAAGATGCAATTTCAGAAACAAAAACAAAAAAGCCAACCCACACATTTTAATGGATTTAATCTCAATCTCTCTCTCTCTCTCTCTCTCTCTCTCTCTCTCTCTCTCTTATCTATCTATCTATCTATCTATCTATCTATCTATCTATCTATCTATCTATCTATCTATCATCTATCTATCTATCATCTATCTATCTATCTATCTATCATCTATCTATCATCTATCTATCTATCTATCATCTATCTATCTCTCATCTGTCTGTCTATCTATCTATCATCTATCTATCTATCATCTATCTATCATCTATCTATCTATCTATCTATCTATCTATATCTATCATCTATCTATCATCTATCTATCTATCTATCTATCTATCTATCTATCTATCTATCTGGTATTCCATTCTTTCTCCTGACTGGTGGGGTCATTCTTTCCTCTTCCTTCCTCCCCAAAGTCACACCATTTCCCTTCCTACAGCATCTCGGATTGCGTCTCTCCCCCCCCCCCAACTCTCTGCTGTCAATTTAGCAGCTCAGGTCCCAGTCTGAGCCTTGAAAAGCACACTGAGTTGAAAGAGGAAGTAGGAAACATAATCAGTCTTCTGAGTGTCTCTTTCAGCTCTATGTACTTTTCAAAGGGGGGATAAAAAAATCCTAACCATCCTTGCCACCTAATAACAAAAGGAGCAGTGAGGTGGGCAGGGACTCAGAAGATTAGCAGCATCATAGGTACCATACTGGCAAACCTTCATTATAATATAACTAGACTCTTAGGTTTTTTAATTGTCGCTGTTATTTCTAATCAGAACAGTCTGTTCCTAATAAGACAAAGTCAGCCCTTAATCACTGGTGTTGTTTTGAGTGAGTGCAACGTCTTGGCTTCAAATTAACATCAAATTTGTAATGCCATGAACATACAGAGTGCAAATATAGCAATAATATTTCAAAGATGAAGACATTGTTTTCTGCCCAAACTCTTGATCTTTTTGGATCCAGCTCATGGCTTTAGGTACCCTTTGGGATTATTTCACTTCAGTTCTGTGTATATAGACAGTTCAGAACACCACACACCAAGCCTTGCATCTTCCTTGTGCCAGCATGTGAGTGACTGAAGGGGCTTCCAGATGGAAGTTCATGGTAGAATCAGTACTGCCTCACGTATGCAAGTTTTTTTGTATACAAATCTAATAAATAAAACAATAATAATAAGGTAGAACTGGTACTGCCTCTTGTTTTTTGCAGTGACAACACCACCACAACATCAAAATGCCAGCATAAACATTAAAAAAAATCCAGATTTCCCTTGTTGCAGAAAATTCAGTAAGTAAAAATAACCTGTTATAAAATCTGAGGTCAGTGTTGGGGTGGAAGCTCATTAGCACATTGTCTTCGTATAATGATATTTCCAGTGGGTGGTGTTTTATACCAGTGTTTCCCAACCTTGGGCCTCCAGCTGTTTTTGGACTACAACTCCCATCATCCCTAGCTAGCAAGACCAGTGGTCAGGGATGATGGGAATTGTAGTTCAAAAACAGCTGGAGGCCCAAGGTTGGGAAACACTGTTTTATACTACACTCCTACTTCCACCCAAACTGCCTGCAGCCATTTTGTTTCTTGCAGCCCAAACAATACAAACATGTCTATTTCCGCCAATGGCAACTTGCTAAGGCACGTTCTAATTTCAGCAATCCAGTTAGGCGGAGCAGTGCTCTTAAGAGCTTCACATAGTAGAAGTGAGGGATTACCTAAGACACCAATCAAATTACATGCATGGGGCTCAAAAAGTATTTTGATACAGAGGTCTTGTGAAGACCTCTCCATCCCTCTTGTGCAAGCCTTAATCAGATAGATAGATATCACTCTTGCACAATATCTCAGTATTTAAAAAAAATGTGAAAGAAAAAAATGGAATAATTGAAATGGATATTCCATGCAGCCCATCTCCCCCACAAGAAAAAGCATGGCATGATAACTGAGAATGATAACATTCATTATTGCACATTTCCAGGATCTTCTAAAGAATCGTGCATCTCCAGGCAGAGGAATACTTGCACACATGCCAAGAGCAAAACAAAAAAGCAGTGGGGCAGGGCCAGATTGACTGAAGTGGGAAACAAAAACCATCCAGATACATCCCATCAGCCTCTGTCTCATTATTCTACTTGTGCTTGTCTTCTGTTGCTCTATCATCCAAGTGCATGCCATGCAGTCAACTGTTTATTTGAAATTACATGAATCTAGGATCTGCTGTCACTAAACTTCAAAATTTCCCTTTGGAGATGCTAATCAGATATAAGATTTTGCTGCACTTCCAAATGAACCTTTTTGTGTGTGAAGAACACCTTGCTTCTTTATCCCACTTTCCCTTCTCCATCCTCTCAACGCCATTCTTAAGGTGCCCCTGAAAGTGTTTATTACCTATTGAGTGCTGCAAGCTGTGTGAATGATTCACTGGAAGCCATCAGAGCGTAACAAGAGCTTTTATGATTTGGTTGCCAACAGTGCCAATAAAGCATAATGAGTTTAGCAAGATAACTGACTTCCTAGGCGGCCAAAAATTAGAACTGACAGACAGGTCCAAAACAGAGGTCAGAGCCCAGAGATGGTGGTCGTATTTATATTTATTTTATTGTTATTTTGACTTTAAAGTTCGATAGATACCCTTAAGTGGAGCAGTATATAAGCAAGACAAGCAACAGTCTATCCCACACACATCACCATAAGCTAAGCTGAATGGCAGAATCTCCTACATCAGGATTGCTTAACAACTCCCCAATGCCTCTTCTCTTTGTTTACAATCTGTGGCTTCTTGACATCCATGTGATCAAGGACAAAACTTCCAGAGCAGAATGAGAAAGGAGTCCTCCTGCAGGTTTAAAGATCCAAAGCTGCAGGAGGAGAAGTTTCAAAAGTCTTCAGGAAGGCATGGTGAGCATTAATGGGCCATCAGGGATCCAGCTGAAACTAGACAGGGTGACCCCCCAAGAAGGGAAAATCAGCCTTGGGTGTTTCAAAACTCCCTATCTGTGGCTGCAACAGTAGCAGGGATAGCTTAACTCTCCATTTAAGATGCTCTCTCATCCCCCAGAAATAACATTTACTCTGCTTTCTCTTGCTGCACTAGACCCTCAAATGCACTCCTTAATAATTCATAGGCTATTGGATTTTGAGACATTATTTCTCGTAATCCACACACATATATTACAAGCAGGAGTGATATTGTGAAATAGGGTGTAGTTAAAATCCACTTAAAAGAGGCACATGAAGCATGAAGACTAAGCTTAATGGAATATACACCTGCAAGTAAATTCAGGTATCTAAATCTATGTAACTATGCTGCGCTCATTCATTTTAGAGGGCCCGGTGTTGCTTCATCAACCACACAAAGTATAAGCGGATGGGTAAATGAATAAAGGTCTGTCTTTCTCATCCTCTAAACCATCATTCAGCAGAGCACTCCAGCCTTGCAGAGGACCACTGCGACAAAATCCCACTTTAAAAATACCATTCGTATCTGAAGATTAGCAGGCCAGGTTAGCTACAGGGGTGTCAAGAGTTATGCTGTGGCTAAAGGGGCATCTCTTCTGATTAAGTAGTCTATATATTTTTCCTAACTAAATCGGGAAGAAGAACATACCTTCCAACAATTCTAGATTCAGGTAGGTAGCTATGCTGGTCTGACGCGTATAAGGGTCTGGTGACCTCTGTTTCAATGTATCTGAAGAAGTGTGCATGCACACGAAAGCTTATACCCAGAACAAACTTAGTTGGTCTCTAAGGTGCGATTGGACAATTTTTTTAATACCCTCCAACATTTGTCCTGTGGGACACGGGTGGCGCTGTGGGTAAAAGCCTCCCGGGGTGCGCTCCCGTTGCTCGGTCCCAGCGCCTGCCAACCTAGCAGTTCGAAAGCACCCCCAGGTGCAAGTAGATAAATGGGACCGCTTACTGGCGGGAAGGTAAACGGCATTTCCGTGTGCTGCACTGGCTCGCCAGATGCAGCTTGTCACGCTGGCCACGTGACCCGGAAGTGTCTCCGGACAGCGCTGGCCCCCGGCCTCTTGAGTGAGATGGGCGCACAACCCCAGAGTCTGTCAAGACTGGCCCGTACGGGCAGGGGTACCTTTACCTTTACCTAACATTTGTCCAATGACAATAGGAACATCCTATTCCATTCTCTTCAGCATTTCTCCAGCAAAAATAGGGACATCCAGGGCTTTTTTTCACTGGGAAATCACCAGAACTCAGTTCTGGCACCTCTCAGGTAGATGCCATTGCCATTCTAAGAGAAAGAGGGTGATGTTCATGGCGAGTTCCGGCATCTCTTTTTCTAGAAAAATAGCAGTGAGGACATCCTATTCCATGCCCTCCAACATTTCTTTGATGAAAATAGGAACGTCCTACAAGCTGGATCAGCATTGTGATACATATACCGTATTTTTTGCTCTATAAGACTCACTTTTTCCCCTCCTAAAAAGTAAGGGGAAATGTGTGTGCGTCTTATGGAGCGAATGCAGGCTGCGCAGCTATCCCAGAAGCCAGAACAGCAAGAGGGATCGCTGCTTTCGCTGCGCAGCAATCCCTCTTGTTGTTCTGGCTTCTGAGATTCAGAATTTTTTTTTCTTGTTTTCCTCCTCCCAAAACTAGGTGTGTCTTATGGTCTGGTGCGTCTTATAGAGCGAAACATACGGTAGATGTCTCTAATAATAATAATAATAATAATAATAATAATAATAATTATTATTATTTATTATTTATACCCCGCCCATCTGGCTGGGCTTCCCCAGCCACTCTGGGCGGCTTCCAAAAGAATATTAAAATACTAAAATACATCAAACATTAAAAGCTTCCCGAAACAGGGCTGCCTTCAGATGTCTTCTAAAAGCCTGGTAGTTGTTGTTCTCTTTGACATCTGGTGCGAGGGTGTTCCACAGGGAAGGTGCCACTACCGAGAAGGCCCTTGCTTTCTTGGAATGATTATCAAGCCCTGTCTTGGCCTTTCGTTAGCATTTTGTTCTGACATAAGAACCAGTTCTTTTACGCACTTACAAAATCACAAGGGGGAATCATTATTTTTAAAGGAAATAAAACAGGGCCAATTGTGAGCATTGCAGAAGCATTAGATCACGCAGTTCTTACTTTAAACAGGTCAGCAGTCCTTCTTGAAGCAACATAGTTACTCAACTGAACTGAATGACGAGTTCTCAGGACACAGTTAATAAAAAACCAAACACATAGACCCTGGAGACAGTCGTTCATTTCCATTTATAGACGTGATCTGCAGCTCTCCTACCTTAACAAGATCCTCCCTGGAGGCAAAATCTGAAAGCAAATTTTTTTCCATTTTTAGCACTAGTGACTGATACAAAGAGCCGATTTTCTGCTACTCATGAGCATTAGGAGGAAGAATTGAATCAATGCAGCCCCTACAGAAAAATAGAATGATAAACATTAGTCAGCCTTAATAATTAAACACCATCTAAATAATTTAGGAAGGATGGAAAGCGCTGTTTCTCCACAGTTATTACAAGACGCCATCCACACAGAATCCTCTCAGCAGCATTTCTCTGGGGCTTTACATGAAGCCAAATTTAAGAGGACATTTGTAAAAAGAAATACCCACCTAAGTTTTGTCATAGCTTGGTGTTAGTGGTCCAAAGTGTAGTTTTCTAGGATCTTCTGCAAATTCATAGGTATTTTTGGTACACTCCTGGAAAAGACCCCTCCCCCATAAAAAATATAGTTATGTACAATGCTATTTTTCTATTCATATCTTACAAACCCTACAAAACATATTTCTGAAATAAAAACATTTGTACCATAATAAGCATAATAAGCTAGTTGAGTGGGAAAGATTAGGCAGTTTTTGTATTTGTTTTTATTACCATTGAATCCACATTTCTTAGGACGTGATCAAATTAATCTGAAAACACACACAATTTCATTTCTGCTTACCTACAAATCACTACCTTTGTTTTAATAAAATGTTTAGTGACACCTGAAATTCTAGTCAGCCAAAAGACCATGTACTGAATGGGAAATTCTTATCGTATCCTTCACAAGCAAAGAACATCGTTGAATAGACTGAAAGAATCATGCAGATTTAAATCACAGAAAGCTGTGGGTGACAATTTTCAGTTATTTTTAATGCCACAGACTAGGAGTTGTAATTTACTAAGATGAATGCTCATTAAAATGCAAAAACAGCTTAAACAGCTGCAGGTAGCATATGGGCAATACCCACGGCAGTGGAAATTTAAGAGAAAATTAGTTAAACAGCAGTGATTTCCCACCACTTGCAAAAGCCTTTGAAAGGGTGTGACCAAGGGTACTGGCAATGGCCTGGGGAAAATATGATACAGAGAACCAAGGGTGGTAGTGTGTTTTTCAGATCACATGGCAGGTTCAACAGATGACTCCTGATCAGATATAAACTGCTGTTGGGCTTCAGCGAGAACCAGCAGCAGTAGCACTGAGATAACTGAAAGAGGAAGAACAGAAACTTCGTTGTACTGCGATGTAAAGAAAATGGCATTTGCCTTGAACTGCAGAGTCACAAACATTGTTAGCACGTACTACAAGCAGCACGTTCCACAGAGTCACTGAATTGCTGTGTTGTTAAAAAATACACTTCTAATTATAGATGCTGTGTTTAGCAGTTCTGATTTCTGAAGCAGATACTGAAGTTCCACTAGTGCAGATAATTATCATGAACCCACTTCGTGTCAGATTCATTCAGATTTATATTCTGTTCCAGGGGCTGGTGGATTGCTAGTGTAGATTTACACTGAGAAGTCGCATTATCAGGATGTGAATCGAAATGTTCCTTCAGATGTGCGTCCCATTGAGCTTATCAGGCAGAGTCCATGTTGGCATGCCTAAACGCAATTTCCCGCAGTTCTTTAAGGGAAAGATATACACAAGGGGCAGTTTGTTAAGCAGCTTTGCTACGGAGCATTTGAGCGAGGAGGAAAACGTCTGCCCTTACTACAAGCATTGTGTGGTGGTCAATGGAACACCACAGTGTGCAAGCAAGCAGTTCGCTAGCTACGATCACTGGCATCATCCATACAGTTGCAGATTGATTGCTCTCCATCATCTCCATCAGTTTGCAGGACCAGCTGGTGGCTCACACTAGAGCAGGAGTGGGGCACCTTAGGTTCTAAAGATGTGGTTGAACTACATCTCCCATCAGACCCAAGAGGAGCCACAATCCAACAATATTGGATGGGCCACAGGCTCTCCATCCCTGCTGGCTTCCAAGTACAGTGGTACCTCGGGTTACAGGCGCTTCAGGTTACAGACGCTTCAGGTTAACAGACTCTGCTAACCCAGAAATAGTACCTCGGGTTAAGAACTTTGCTTCAGGATGAGAACAGAAATCGTGCGGCAGCAGAGCAGTGGTGGCAGGGAGGCCCCATTAGCTAAAGTGGTGCTTCAGGTTAAGAACAGTTTCGGGTTAAGAACGGACCTCCAGAACGAATTAAGTTCTTAACCCGAAGTACCACTGTATATGCAAGGTTGTAGGGCAGAAAATGAGAAGAATCTTCAGAAACAACGTGAGAGGTTTCACACATTCCTGCTTCTAATCTTCCTGGCTTCTATGAGTACCTTCACACCACTGTGAAGATCTGTGATCCGCCCTGAGATGTTTTGATGATGATGATTATATATATATATATATATTCATCATCATCAAAAGATATATGTCATAGATAGCTTTGCTTTCTTAGTTATCTCTAGCTACCAATTAGGAAAACTGAAAACCACAAATCATTAATTACCAGGAATAAGCAATTACAATTACTAATTACTAATAATGTTTTCATTATTTTTACAAACAGATTGCGCCTACATTGTCCATTGTCACAAATACTTACCTACTTCTGCATACATACTACAAAGTAACCAAGTAAGAATTAGAAAAGTAATTGTACAGGTCAAAAAAAAATTATTCACTGTCACTGCCCATTTCCCCCCATATAATCTTGCAACACACAATATAGGCAAAAGGGTGACAGTAAAAGATAAGAGTATGTTTCATAAATCTATCACTGCTCCAAAATGTTTAATTTGGAATATGCTAGCAAAAGCATGTAGCTGCACTGTAGGTGCGCAAGATACTGGTCATATTATTATGATTTCAGTTGATAGCATCCCAAATGAGTAGATTTAAGCTATCTTTTAAAGATTTGCAGGTTCTTTTTCAATTACCTCTATATTTTCGGGCACTGTTAAAAGAACAGTGGCAGTCACAGATCCTGAAGAAGCTCCTGCAAAGGCATTCACAACCTCCAGTAATTTCTTGCCATGTTTGGAAAGAGCATATGCTGCCCCCAAGTGGTATATCTCTAGAAACCCACAAGCTGCAAAGAACAAGCTGAGGTGATTCATTTTTGCTCTGGAAAGAAAGTTTAGAAAGGATTGTGAAAGATTTTTCTCACCCCCCCCCCCAAAAAAAGAATTTTCCACTCTGATGTGTGACATAAGGCTTAGAATCATCAGGACATTTTTCATCTTTAAAAGATACAATTAAGTTCAGCTTCCAAAAATAATTGGAAACTTGCATTAATACCTTTGAGGCTCTTGTCAGAGGTGCTTTGAAATACAATTTAACAAAGTGTTACATTTTTTTCTACTTCTCTAACTGTAACTTTATTTTCTATCTTTAAAATTCACTCTGACAATTTACTTTCATATTCTACTGTAAGACTTAAACCAGTTCTTACTCATACCTCCAACCACTTAGCTGCTTATTCAAGCAGGTGTCTTAAACCAAACATTTTTGTAAATACTTGCAGTCATTACCCAAAATATTTCGGAACGATTGGTGCTGGCTAAAATGCTTACAATCCCTAGTTACTCCAGTAATTCAGCTGGTCATTCAATTCCTTTTAAGCATTTATATTGAACAACTAAAGCTGCAATCGCATATAAAATTTCCTGGGAGGAAGCCCCACGGAATGCAATGGGACTTACTTCCAAGTAAAGATACATATTGTATAAAGAGCCAGTGTGGTGTAGTGGTTAAGAGCGGTAGTCTCGTAATCTGGGGAACCGGGTTCGCGTCTCCGCTCCTCCACATGCAGCTGCTGGGTGACCTTGGGCCAGTCACACTTCTCTGAAGTCTCTCAGCCCCACTCACCTCACAGAGTGTTTGTTGTGGGGGAGGAAGGGAAAAGAGAATGTTAGCCGCTTTGAGACTCCTTAAGGGGAGTGAAAGGTGGGATATCAAATCCAAATCCAAACATATTAGGGGGCTGAATGTCAAATCTATAGAGAGATGTAGCTTCTCACCCATGGCCCTATTTTCATGATAATGTTTCTTTGAATTAAAAAAATGCTACCATCAGCATCTTGTACAAAATTATAATGAACGTTTTCTTATTTAGATTAACTGGAAGACACAAAAATTCTAGTCTCTGTCAGTATGACAACAAAATGATAATATGGTAACATAAGGGTTTCTAACAACTTCCATCTAGAAAGATCGGAACCTTCATCTAATAAAGAAATCAGACATGCTGAGTTGGAAGAATCAATTAAAACTGATCCCACTTGCTGCTAAATATTGCATAACTGGCAGTGCAGTGAGACACTAAGCATGTTTACTCAGAAGCAAGTCCTAGTGAGCTTAGCGAGACTTATCTGAAGACAATGAGGTTCACTTCTGTCTTTATGTATTGATCTCTGAGAGGCAGCTTAGGGTTTCTGCATTTTATATACCAGCTCCATCAGCCTTCCCCAATATGGTGCCCTCCATATGCAGTGGCCATTAACTCTGGGGTTGATGAGAATTTTATCTTTATGGTTCCAGATTGAGAAGGCTGATCTAGATTTGAGGCTTGATTCACATTTTCATTGCAGCATGGAACATCTAACCTTTTCAGCTGTGTCAATAGTGAAATGCCCTTGTGTGCAGGTACTGGCTGTCCATTCATAAGAATGAAAAGCAGCCAACATATAGTCAACATTAGTTGGATCACAGCAAATAAAATGAAGTCACAGGCTGGAAGTAGACTTTGGGCAGCCACCAGAAGTACCTCTCTCTTCCTACTGATAGTGATTACCAATACAAACCGTGTGATGTTACGCTGTCATATTTCAATTTCCACCCAACAAGATGGGACAGCAAATTATGTGGAGTGGCAGTGGGGAAACTTATTTGTGCAATGACAAAGCATCATGCATTTCACATCAGAAAATATTAGGATAAGAGGAGGAGTCACAGAATGGCCTTCATTAAGGCACAAGATCCGCTACTTTAGCTTAGAACAAAAATTGAATGGCTGGCCAGAAAGAGCTAGAAATGGAGTATTTTGTGGGGGGCGGGGTCAGATAAACTCAAAATAGCAGAAAGTTCAAAAACAACACATTCATCAAAAAATGTGAAAATTTCCTGAAATGTCTGAGCAAAAGTATTGTAGGTCTCCATAAAGTCATTGCATATTCCAGAATTAGGAATATGCAGTATTAGGTTGTTGGAGCATCTATATTTGCTTGCAGTACTATTACTATTGCTATTAATTAATTAATTAAATTTGTATACTGCCCTATTCCCATAGATGTTTCTCAACATAAACTTACAGTATAAAAAAATTGGTGCAGATGTACTTTTTCATTAGATTAAAAAGATGGATGAAAAGGTTGGCATTCCCTATTCTAATTCATGTGAGTTCAAATTACCAGCAAAGAAACTTGGATTAAGGCAAAGGCAAAAATATAAACTGTGATGGGAGAGGGGAGGGAGGGGGAGAGGGAGGCAGCGTTTGGTTTACGCTTCTCTCTAAGTCTCCAGATACCATTAGCTCAGAGAATATAGCAGTCTACAAAAGATATGTAAATCTAATTAAGTATATCTTTATATTTCCTGTAGCGAAAGCTGCTGCTTGTATTACCAAAATCCACTAGAATAATAAGCTTTTAAAAATATATAATTTTCCCAATGTAATCCACTTACCGCTCTGTCTTCTGCACATTTTTTTCCAATCCAAAAGTAATATAAAACAAATGCAGAAATTAATCATTTTGGGCTGCATTGTGCTTTCAAGATTAATTGTCTGGAATTACACTAACAACATTAGGCAAGCATGGGTGCTCAACCACATCATGACTCTCCAAGTCTCACCAGCATAAATAAAGTCAAAGGCAATGGTGATGAATGTAGGAATCCCTGGCAAATGGCCATCCAACTTCTGTTTAAAAACCTCCAATGAAGAAGACTCCATCACCTTCCGAGGTTGTCCAGCTCTTACCATCTTACCATCCTGATGTTTAGTTGGAATCTCCTTTCTTGTAATTTGAATCCATTGGTTCGGGTCCTACCCTCTGGAGCAGCAGAAAACAAGCTTGCTCTCTCTTCTGTGTGGCCACCCTTCAGATATTTGAAGATGGCTTTCAGTCGTGTCTTCTCCAGGATAAACACCCCTATCTCCCTCAACCATTCCTCATAAGGCTTGGTTTCCAGACTGTTTATCTTCTTGGTCGCCATCCTCGGCATACGTTCCAGCTTGTCAACATCCTTCTTAAGCTGTGATGTGCAGAACTAGACACAGTACTCCAGGTTGGGGAATCACAATACCATTATTTATTCATTCATTCATTCATTCATTCATTCATTCATTTATTTATTTCGTACATCTTGTAGCCCACCTTTCTTCCAACCTGGAATCCTGTGGGGGTTGCCTATGTGGTTCCCAGGCATTGACCAGACTAGACCTGTTTAACTTCAGCAATGCTTGGGCTTAAGACCCCAAAGCTGATGTCCAGGCCCAAGAGAGGCAAGCTTTGCCAGCAGCTCTGTTAAAAGGGTACAGATGGGGCTAAGGCATTTAAAGGGGGTGAGCCCAAAAAGTCCAAACCTACAGACTTTATCCTGACATGGTCCATTACATTCTATATGATATCAGGATCTGAGGGTATGTGAAGGTTGTCGGAATCTCCACTTGGCCAAGCTGATAAAGCTCATCTTCCTGCCGAGTCCTTCGGAATCGCCCTCCGACGAATAATTAACGACCTGAGCCTCTGATAAGGCCTCAGGCATGTTCCCCCATTCAGCAGAGTTTCAAAGCAGCAGAAGTGATGAGATTTATGGCTACATCGCTATGCTTTATTTCCTACTACGCAGACAGCAAAGAAATATCCATCCTCTCTCTATGAAAGCCGAGAGCAACTGAGCAACAAAGGAACAGGAAACCCACTAACGTCACATCCGTCTCCCTTCTCCCATGAGACTGCCTGGTCTGCCTCTGGAATGTAAACAGAGTCCTGTGACTCTAAGCAGCTGCTCAGTGGCAAACAGAAACTAACAAAGCTAACACCTAGCTGAAGCTAAGGGTCCGGGTCTGGTCATTGTCTGCATGGCTGACAACCATCAAAAGCACCTTCAGGTACTCTGCCTTGGGTTCCATTACAGAAAGAAGGCAGCATATAAATGGTAATCAATCGAAAAATAAAATGTGCCCCAAATTCACAGGAAGCACTTCATCTTGAAGTAATGAGCATGCATACCCCTCCCAAAAATTTGCAATATTGTAAATAAGCACAGATGTTGATTTTTTTAAAAAAAGAAATGCTGATATAGCTCATCATTTTTTGTATAAGAACCCAAGAAAGATCAGCTTCCAAAAGGAAACGAACCATTACTCGCTTCCATGTAAACACAGTTGAGATCAGGGAGCAGAAAATACCACTGCTTGTTTCCACCATTTTCCTAGCTTAATTAAGATGAAATATTTATATGACATTAATTAGTTACAATTACTTGGAAGCATGCTCTTTTCTAAACAGAGTTGTACAATAAAGCACTATGGAAATCTAGAATTAAACCCAGCCAAGTAGTCAGTCCCCATGCAAAAAAGTGTCTGTTGCTGGGCTGTACCATTTCTTTAGAAAATGTGGTGAATTGGAAGATGCAAACATTCATTTCCTCCACCTGCAGTTTGAAATGATAAGAGTCCATCACCTCCTGCCCACCCCACCCCCACCCCTCACGTTTAACAGCAGTATATTCAGTCAGGGCAAAAAGCAACACTTATGAAATTATAATTTTTAAGTTAATAGGCATGATTCTTGAGACAGACTGCAGACTAAATTAACCATGTAACAAGCAAGTAAAGCAACATGTAAGAGAGAGGTAATGGAATAATATGAATATTTTATGTGGACAGAAGGGGGGAACGAAAGAAGACCCCAAAAAAAGGAATTGGAAATGCCTATTTTAAAACAAAAAAACAAAGACTGCAGAAATATCACAGGGAACAAATTAAAACTTCATGTGCTCTGCATGCGAACTGCAGCCTATTAAGCTATGAAGATAAAAGGAATTGTCAACGGACAAACTGAGTAAATCGGACCATAGTTAGAAAAAGACCAAGAAAAATATCCAAAGGCTA